ACCTGTACAAGAACACTCCAAGGATGAACAGCAATCAGATATACAAGAACACTTACCAGAAAACAACTCAGATAAAGATACATCTGCAAGTAATAAGTGGAAAGAACTGCCTGAGACACAAGAGATGCCCAGAAGAACTAAGAGACAGACAGTTAGAAAAGACTACCGCAAGATGAATGAACCAGACTTCAAGGATGACAAGAATGATAGAGCTAAGTCATATGAAGTCAAAAACGGTGAACTGCCATTGCCAGAACTCACAGAGGAAGATATAGTCTTGATAGTGATCGTAGAAGGAGGACACATTGAACCCAATGAGCCAAAGAATCTAAGAGAAGCACTGGTGTCAATTGATTGGCCAAAATGGGAGGAAGCAATACGAGCTGAACTTACCCAGCTAAACAAAATGGGTACTTGGGAATTGGTAGAACCACCCAAATGGGTCCTGGTTAAGAAAACAAATAAAGAAGGCAAAGTTATTAAATATAAAGCAAGGTTAGTAGCAAAATGATACTCACAAATTCCTGGTATGGACTACACAGATACTTTCGCACTGGTAGTACATCTTGAGTCGATTCGATCAACAATGTCTGTTGCAGCTTCCCTAGATTGGGAAGTTGAGCAGATGGACATAAAAGGAGCATATTTGAATGGCACCTTAACAGAGGAGGTGTACATGGTCCAACCAGAAGGGTATGAAGACAGTACAGGAAGAGTGTGCTGACTTCAGAAGACCTTGTATGGATTGAAACAATCCGGACATGAGTGGAACATTGAATTAAATAGTTGTCTAACAAAGATAGGATTTAAACATACCAAGTCGGATCCATGCGTCTATATAAGACAGACCGAGACAGGCACACAGATCATAACAGTATGGGTAGATGATCTACTCCTGTTTGCTAATAGTCCCGATCTTATGAGTCAGTTAAAGATGTAGTTGAAAGAGATATTGGACGTTACCAATCTAGGAGAACCTAAGAAAATAGTAGGAATCAAGATAACAAGAGACTGTGCCGAGAAAACAATTAAGTTGTCTCAAGCACAGTACATAGACTCAATCCTGCAAAAATACAGTCTCCAGAACTGCAATGCAGTAGGTATGCCCATGGATCTGAAAGTCATATTAGAAAGGAAGATACTGACACAAAAGGCGAGCATAGTAATAGTTATGCCTCATTAGTTGGATCTTTAATGTATCTAGCAGTGGCAGCGATTCAGAGATTGAGCTCTTTTACTGCAAATCCTGGACTAGCACATTGGTCAGCAGCAAAATGGGTATTAAGATATCTAGCAAGGACTAAAGACCTTGGAATTAAGTATCAAGGAACTGATTCCACAAACGCCAAAGTCAAATTTGAGGGATGGACAGATGCAGACTATGCTAATGACATCCGCGATAGAGTCTCAGTATCAGGATACGTATTCAAGCTAAGTGAAGGAGCCATTACCTGGAGTTCCAAGAAACAAAATGCTGTCTCACTATCCTCAACAGAGGCAGAATATACAGCAATGGCATATGGGGCGAAGGAAGTGGTATGGCTTTGATACTTGTTTGAAGATTTGAATTTGGCCCAAGAAGGACCAACAATCCTATATGGAGACAATATGGCAGCGTTAGCAATAGCTCCAGACCCTCAATATCATGCGAGATCAAAACACTTTGATATAAAAAATCATTACATCAGGAATAAGATTCGCTAGAAAATAATGCAAGAGACATACTGTCCTACAGAAAGGATGATAGCAGATGTACTCACAAAACTGCTAGCTAAACCATCACATCAGAGACTCTCCAACATGATGGGCATATCTCCAGATTGAGGGGGAGTGTTGTGACATAGCAATCAGCCGACATGGTTCGTGCACTTCCTAGCAGAGTTACGAGAGCATCTGAGTGGCGGAGTAGTTAGTTGGTATAATAGATAATCGGAATCAGCCGAATATATTCTGCGCGCCACGAACTCCTATTATCGTCGCTGTTCCTACTAAGCCCGGAACCTGAATCTTAAGACTCACGTTACTCTAGATTTACGGACATCGATGGCTATGCATCTACAAATCAAAAGTTTCATAGTATAGATGATCTTATTTCGAAGGAGCAGAACTGTATCTTTCTGTAGTTCCTACGGCTACAATACCGAGGAATCATCAATTCACTGATGATGGCGCCGTCGCTCTCTGCATGCGCAACCGTCGTTTTTTCCTGGAAGTCGACAAGATAGACCGATCGCGGCACCACGGAATTATTGATGTCGTGCATGATGTAAAGCGAAGCAAGGAGGCCTTCCAAGTGGAAAATAAGATATTGACGGCAATGAAATTGCATCATATGGGCAAGGAGCTAAATTCGGGAGAAGCTCATATCTGACTTAAGACTGCGACTAGATATTCTCCAAATCGACTGACCAAATCCTTTCGCGGTTGTCAGCATTGGAAGTGCGAAGGATGTGATGAGCCTGCCGGGAGCGGGCAGCATTTTCTTAGTTGCAATATTTGATGCACATCGCACATTCATGTCAACGAGGAGACTCGAGTTACTCTGTGGCTCCTGCCGTGGATGGAACCAAAACTTTTATCATCGCTACTCTGAGAGTATGGAGGAAAGATATGGCCCGGACGCACAGTTTACAGCACTTCTCCAGCGGTGGCGCACATGACATCACTTGAACGGACAAATGGACGTTCCTTCGGACTCGGAGTTCCATGAGAAAGCGGACGCTAGCCAGTAGAAGATAAGGTATGCTTCGCGCGCTGCACGCAAACAGCCGGCAATACATCATACCAGACGCGTCAGAAGTGGGTAGTCTACCCCGAAGCGAGGTACGAGGGGCCGTAGGGTTAGAATTATGACTTTGTGGCAGCGGCAGTGCAGCACGTGGCCTCGGGCTCGCGCCACGCTCTAGCAGGCTCAAACCCGCCTTCTGCTTTTCTTTTCTTTTCCTTTTCTTTTTGTCTCCGAAATTTCCGGGAACCTAGGTAACTCCCAGAATTTTTTGTTTGCCTGAATATCTATTTTCTAGGCTATCTTTGGCCACCCGGCAACTCGGTGGGCTTTGAGGGCCTAGATCCTTGCATGCATCCGCATGCAATGAAGATAAGTCCAGCCGGGAAGCTGGAGTTATGCGAGCGCGCAATCAGATAAAAGGACAATTACTCAGTCGGCCTCTCGTCGATCCATCGAACGAAATGGAATAAGTAATGACGTAGCGGAACTTCGAACCAAACTATAACGATAACGTACCCTTCCACCGCTCAGCAATATCTTGACCTCGGAAAACTTCGCGCAGGGCTTCTTGTATGTCTTCGACATATACGAAGCGGATTCCTATCTTGACGCTTTCTGGGACGTTCTCTTCGACGTTGGCCGACGAGCGATATCTCGCTAGTCATGGCTGATGAACAAAAAGGTGAGGCGCTGGAAATAAATCTAACGTACCGATGTCTGGATGGATCTTGGTCTCGGTAAAGAGTTGAGACTCGACGGAGTAGGTGCGCTAGTAGCCATAGCTGGGACTTGTTCAGGGAAGGCGGTTTCGCCAAGGTCGAGGATGGGTTTCAGCGCAGCCTTCCAATAGATCTGCAGCGCGTGTGAGCTATGCATATAATACGCTGGCGTAATCCCCGCCCTGTCAATATGTTTCTTCAGATTCCACGCGCCGATCTCTCGGTAGTAGTACTTGATGAGCGAGTCGATGGTGGAGGGCTCGAGGACAATGTCGTCGTTCTTCAAGCCTGACGCTTCCTTTGCCTGCGGTCCGAGATACTTTTCGGCAATAACTCATTTCTCCTCGGAGGCATATCTGCTGATTGTGACTTCAAGGACCTCCAAGTGATCGAGGAGAGGCTCTAGGATCGCGACAAGGTTGTTGGCTGAAAGATGCGTAGGCGTAAGTGCGGGAAACGCGCGATATCCGGACAACTCACCTGCGCAGACGAACCGAACTCATGACAAGTCCACAGGGACGTCCGCGCTGAGAAGGTCAGAAGGATGAATATACGTCATGCAGAAGCGAAGTGATGGAAAACGCTCACTAGCGATCCAAGAATCAGTCGTTTTGGTCGCATGCGCCTCCGAAGCAGCGCGATCATTTTATTGAGTTCATTGTCAAGGACCTTCCAGACACCCTCCGGCATCTTCAACAAGGCGGCTTGCTCCTTGAATTTTCAATGAGCTCGTCCTCCCCGTCTTATTCCATACGGAGCGCCTTTTTGATCCCCTTGAGCTGCTCCATCTGACCACCCCACTAGTAGTACAGCGCGGCTGACTTGGGCGTAAACTCTGTAGCGCAGTTCCCATTTTTCAACGTCGAGCAATGCCCCCTGCAGCAATGGGGCGTAAGATCGCGAGCTTGGCAGCTCGAGTTGCATCCACCTACAGACTACGCTAAGCGATTGATCTTATTTTTCTTGCGCTCAGATATTTGTCCATTGGAGCGCTTTGAGTTCCTTGAAAAAAGAGCAAGAGCAATAAACCATCAGCTTGCAATCAAAAGGCATAAAGCCTTCCAAAGCGTGGGCTTGCGCGAGGCGTCCCAGAATAGGCTGGAGATAGCGCCGTAGGAAATGGCAATCAGCGGCAGAGCGACTTCCGGATTTAATATTTAATAGTCAAGCTCAGTCGTCCTTTGTGCAAAATCGAGGGGATAGAGCGTGAAACAAGTGCGGAGGGGAGCCTAACGGTACATGAGTTGAAGTGAAATGGGAAGTGGTAGTATTCGCGTACTCGTCGACGCGCGCCGAGCTTCACGAAGAATTGGTGAAGGAGCTCCAAAGGCGAGTTGGACTGAATCATCAATGGCCTACATCCATTTGAGCGTCTGCACACCTTAAAATCAAACGAAAAGAGTATGCCGTATCCGCGTATACGCTGAAGTCGAATTTCCTCGGTTACTCCCTCCGCCACAACGGCTACAGGTGTTAGTTAGTCGGATCTCAACAATGAGTATAGCGCCCTTACCACTTCCTTGGTGAACGGAGTTGACCGCAGGTATTCACGTTTAGCATGTATTCGCGGAAAGATAGCCCGTGAAAAGCATCAGGAGAGTCTTGGCAACGAGAACAGACAGCATAACAGGAACGGCATAGGTGAGGGTACCGGTCAGCTCGAACATCATGACCGCTAATGACGCCGTTGTTCTCTGAAGATCTCAAGTCAACTTCGCCGTACCGAGGACTAGGAGCCGGTTACTCACAGTGACGCCAGACAAGGCTGCTGCATCTTTCATCATTGCGGAAAGGCCAGGCACGACGCAATCCACGTCGCCCTCGCATACATCAAATACGGCGCTGTTCGGGTAATGGTACTGGAGCCATTGCACCGCAATGCCAACAATCCGTCCAGCGCATGCGCCTACTCCGAGGGCAGGTATAAAATCCCAGCCGGAAACTTGCGTTTTTTTACTGCCTGTACAATACAGCATTCTGGGAATAGGTTATAAACAAGATCTGCGCCCCCCATGCGCGCATAAGGACTTAAGAAGCACAAGGCGGCGATTACGAGAGTCGCCTACATCATTAAGAAGGCTAGACAACGGACGAACAACGCGATGCTCGCAAGAATGACTTCTGCAACTGGATGCACCTTTAACCGCGTTCCGCCACGAACGTCGCGACTCCAGCGGTAGTTCAGCTTGGAAAAATACGCGCTGTATACTCACTGAAACCTCGTTTAATGAACCATCCTCCAAGAGAACCGAGGTACGCACTCCAAGAACTCCAAGTAGGACGAAAAATATCAGCTCGTATGCGCGCCATTCCTGTCGAATATAATGAGCGAGTGACCAGTCAAATATCGCGTGACAAACCTTGTCATAAGCGACCTGGAAT